ATATATATATATATATATATATATATATATATATATATATATATATATATATATATATATATATATATATATATATATATATATATATATATATATATTTCAAAAGTAAGTTTTATTGAAGAAGAAAGAGAGTTGATACATGGGGGCATGGCCGTAAAAAGAAAAATCAAACAACACTTTTAAATAAAACTCTACGACCATTGCGCCAAAAAGAATCAATCCCCAAGCCATTGAAATCTTCATCCTTGATCATCCACTTTTTGTTCCTATTTATCCATGCCCACGCTTGTAGGGATTTGAGGCATGAATGAAATATTCCCTCTGCCAATGGATTCGATGCATTGTGGATGTTGGAGTTACGTGCCTTCCAAAGGGACCAGGTGCAAATTCCTGGTAAAATGAGACGAAGGGTACCTTTGAAGTGTTTGGTGTTGCTTCCGAACCACCATGCAAGGAGATGTTGACGTAGTGTGGTGTCCTTCTTCGCCCTTGGTCCATTGGCCATTATGGCAACCTTGTTCCATACGTGGGAGGCTGTTGGACATTGGAGTAAGCTGTGATCCATGTCATCATTGTTGTTTTGGCATAAAAGGCAAAGGCTTGGGAGATGACAGGCGAGTCTGTAGATGTTTTGTGGGAAGGGGAGTCCATCATTGAGTAATTTCCACAAGAAAATCCTGATTTTTGGTGTGTTTGAGCTGTGCCAAATGTATTTGCAAGAGAGTAGGTTTGGTCCACTATCTTGAACCACCTTGTAGGCTTCCTTGAGATTGAAAGTACCTCCATTCCAGAGCATATCTTCGCCTACAACAGTGGTATGGGAATCTGCAAGTACATTTGTTCTACAAATTCTCTTCCAAGTGGGAGAGTCAGTGATCTTCTCCTTTATGATTCCTTTTTTCATATATTTTGCTCTCACAAATGGTCCCCAGATGCGCACATCATTTTTTGCCTTCCACCAGAGCATGAGAGTGTACACTTGATGTTGGTCTTCCAAGCTTTTGATTCCAAGACCCCCCTCTTTCTCTGGTTTTGTAAGTTTGTTCCACCTTATCCAGTGATATATTTGTGCACCCTCCTTTTGTCCCCAGAAGAAATTAGCCATGTACTTGGTAAGAGTATGGATGATAGATTTAGGAAGGGTGTGCACTGCAAGTATGTGTAATGGGATTGATGAAAGCACATGCTTGATAAGGATAAGTCTGCCCATTTGGTTCAAGGTTTTGTTGTACCAGGAGTGGATGCGTTTCTCAAAATGTCCCAGGATGTCCTTGCAGTGTTCTTTTCTCAGAATCCCACGACAAATAGGTGCTCCCAGGTAGGTGAAAGGGAGTTTGCCTCTACTGATTCCAATAGCCTTCTCCATATGTTGAATCTGTGAGGTGGTTGTTTTATTGGAGGTGTAAAATTTACTTTTGTTTAGGTTGATCTCCTGTCCTGATGCCTTGAGGTATGTGTCTAGTGTGGATTTGAGTTTGAGGAGGTTTCTTGAGTCACCCCTGGAAAAAATCATAATATCATCTGCATAAATAAGGTGGGAAGGGAATTTGACCTGTCTTGAGTTAAATCTGAGGAGATGAGATGAGTCCATATGCTGATTTATGAGTCTGCTGAATCCTTCTGCTGCAAGAATGAATAAAAGAGGGGAGAGGGGGTCTCCTTGTTTGACCCCCCTCTCCATTTTGAAATAACCCGCTGGCTCACCATTGAGAAGGATGCTGAAATAGGACCCTCTAAGATTAGCCATTAAAAGTGTTGTTGACAGATTGCTGAATCCAAAAGCCTCAAGTAATGCTTCAAGATATCCCCAGTCAAGTTTATCAAAAGCTTTTGCCATGTCTAGCTTTAGAATAAAATTTCCCCTAAACACCTTTTTGTCAAGGAGGTGGACAGCTTCTTGTGCCATAAGGATATGGTCATCAATGGATTTTCCTTTTTGGAATGCTGCTTGTTCCTTAGAAATCAATTTGGGCAGAATTTTGTTGAGTCTGTTTGCAAGGAGTTTGGTATTAATTTTGCTCATGAAAGTGGAGAGAGAAATAGGCCTGTAGTCTTCAAATCTTTTAGGGTTATCAGTTTTTGGGATGAGGGTCAAAAAAGTGCTTCCATAAACTCTAGGAATAGGTTGCCCCATGAAGAATTCTTGAGATGCAGTGAGAACATCCTGTCTGATAGTTTCCTAGGTAGCTTTGAAAAAATTTCCATTGAACCCGTCAGGTCCACTTGCACTATTGCCATCTAATTCCCAAATAGCCTGTTTAACTTCATCCATAGAGGGGATGGCACAGATTCTGAGGTTATCATCTGAGGTTAGGATCAAGGGGATGAGAGGAAGGATAGCATCAAAAGAAGGATGTTGGCATTGCTTGAAGCTGTTTTCAAAGAAGGAGATGGCTTCTGTCTTGATCTCAGAGGGGTTGCTAGTGCCTGCTCCATTTGGTTCAATAATATGAGATATAGAGAGTTTCCTTCTCTTTCCTTTAACATAGGCTTGAAAGAGTTTGGAGTTGGAATCTCCCTTTTCCAGCCATCTAATGTTTGCCTTTTGCTTCCAGTATTGGACTTCCAGGTTTGTGGCATAAATCAAGGCTGTATTGACTTTCTGCATAATTTCTCTATTTTCTTGTGAAGGATTGATCTCAAAATCCTTTTCCGTTTCCAAAGCTTTGTCTTCTGCTTGTTGAAGTTGGGAGAAAATGTCTCCAAAAGTTTCCTTGTTCTAGGTTTTAAGGGCTGCTTTGAGGCTAGATAGTTTGTTAGCCAATCCCCTCATTCCTCCTATGGTGGGCAGATTACCCCAAGTCTTTTGAACCATGGAATGGAAGGTGTCATGCAAGGTCCAAGCATTAAGGAATCTAAAAGGCTTTGGACCAGTAGGAGTGGACTTACTACAATGTACCAAAAGGGGTTTATGATCTGAATTGAATTTGGACAGGTGCTTTAAGGAGACATCATCATAATAANTGGTGATCTGAGATAAAAGACATTGACACTCCATGAAGTCTCACGATTTCACGGATACATAGTTCAGCTAACTTTTGCAAAGAAAAATCTATTCTGATAGGAACACAAAGTGCTCTAACTTATTTAATTTGTCTACAATGACAAAAACATCGTCGTTTTTTTTACAGGGGCAAACCAGTCACAAAGTCCATCATGATCCTTTCTCGTTTACACTCAGGAATGACTGGTGGATGTAGCAATCCACTCGACACCTGATGCTCCGCATTGACTTGCTGACAAGTCAAGAATCTAGATGTAAACTTGGAGATTTCTCGTTTCATAGTAGGCCACCAGTAGGTTTTCTTGAGATCTTGATACTTCTTATTGCTACCTGGGTGCATGGTAGGGTTATAAACAAACCGAACCGAATCAAATATTCATGAAAAATATTCATATTCGTTAACATGGAGTGATATTTGAATTCGAATTCGGTTCGAATATTTTTTAAGATTCGTATTCGGTTCGTTTAATATATTAAACATATTCGGTTCGTTTAAATATTCGATTCGTTTAAATATATTCAGTTTGTTTAAAAATATTCAGTTCATTTAGATTTTAAAATATTTTATAACCATTTGAAAAAATCGAATTCGAATCACCTTAAACGAATACGAATCACGAATCGAACAAAAAATATTCGATTCATTTACATCCCTAGTGCATGGTGTACATGGTTTCATGAGCATCTCGTAGCAAGTGTTTTCTCACTTCGCCGTCAGGTACTACCAGGCAATCCCGATAGAACAAAATACAGTTACCATTAACGGTGAAGTCTTTGTTAGAATAAGTATCCTTCACTAGAGGGGGGGTGAATAGTGAGGCACGAGAATGTTTATAAATTTTCGCGGAATAAAAATTGCAGGGATAAAGTAAAGAGCGGAATAAAAAAGCGTAAAGGGAGCACACCAAGATTTATACTAGTTCACCACAACATGCGGCTAGTCCAGTCTCCCGAGAGACTCTCTTGAGCTACACTACTTTCGTTAAGCTTACGGGTGCTTAACAAACCGTTACAACCTGAGAACTCGAGTCCCACGAGCCTCAATACACTTGCTCGGAGATACCGCACTCCAAGACTTCAACCCGAAGGAATATGCCCTTCCTTCGTACAACCAAGGGAACAAACCTCCCTTATAGTGTGTAAAACACTAAGACACTCAAGAACAAAGCTCTCTCTAAAGAGTAGATAATGAGCAAACTAATTTAGATCAAGAACACACTCAATTCTTCAAGAAATGGCTCTAAAAAGCTATGTAAAAAGTTTATGGAATGATGCAATGTAAAGCTATGAAATGTGTGAGGAATGGGTGTGAAAAGTAGATCAAAAGACCCTTATTTATACCCCAAAATGATGTGTAACGGATGGGAGTTGATTTGGGTTTAGTGGCATGGGTTTGTGGAAATCAAATAAAAGTGGATCTGCAGGAAATCAGCCTACCAAGCGATGTGTGGATCTACCCATCACTGGTAAGCCATTCCTTCAGTTTTAAAGACAACAGTCACCTACCCATCGATGGGTAAGAACTTCACATCGCTGGGTGGGAGGTTGACTTTCAAACAAGGAAAGAATCAAACTTAAATGCCTTACAACGGTCATGCCTACCCATGGATGGGTATACCCTCCCATCGCTAGGTACCCAGCGATGTGTCCAAGTCCCCATCGCTGGGTGAGGGTATTCTGCCTTGTGTTAATGTTGAACTAAGGCTTGTACAGCGATGGGTGGAACTCCCCATCGCTGTGTGGCATGGTTCTGCAATCCAGCTGAGCTAAGGACCACTTATCCATCGATGGGTAATATCTCCCATCGATGGGTTGATGGCTAGTCCAAAAACCTATGGTTTTTCCTTGAACCATGGCCTAGCCCACCGATGCTGAATCCCGACCGATACTAAAACCCGACTGACAAAATATGAAGTTCTCCAAACTAAAAACCAAGTGTTTAAAACACTTATTTCATGTATTTTGCTAAGAAATCAAGTGAGACATCTTAAAAACCACGTCATTTAAGTAAAAATCACGACTAGCCAAGTTTATGCCGTTTCGCATGGTTTTTACCAAACGACCCAAAACGAAAGGTGGTTTTTGAAGTGTTTTTGTTGGAAAACAATTTAAATGTGCCCAGAAGTAAAAACCAATCATAAAACCTTAAAAACCAATTGATTGATTTGGACGCCAAAAACCAACGCCGATAGCCAGCGCCGAATGTCGATAACCAATGCTGGAAAACAAAGGTTATGGTTTTTGAAAACTAATCATTTGGAACACCTTTAAATGTGTTCAGAATCCAAAACCAAAGATGAAAGCCCAAAAACCATTTGGCTAAAATCAATGCCTATAACCAATGCTGAAAACTGAATGCCATAGCCGAACACCGATAATCGATGGTTATGGTTTTGGTTGGGAAAGAACCAGGGGGTTTAGAAACTTAAAACCATTTATGAACACTCATTTGATGCATGAAAAAAAATATTTTGTTTTGAGCCATGACTTAGAGAAATTGAATGAACTTGTTCCAATAAAAACCTAAGTATTTAGACAACGTCTTGAAAACGCCAGTGTTGCCATCTTTAGAAACGTCAATGTCTTTCTTGTGCTTTTTGTTCCTTTTTCCATCTCTTTGAATCTTTTCATTTTAATTCATGTTCTCGACGATTTGTCAATTTCAAAACCTAAACGGAAACAAACATTGTCATTAGCAAAACGTCAAAGTGAAAATGTTTTCCAACAATTTCTCCCTTTTTGATAATGACTAACCAAGGCGGGGATATGCAAGTCAAGTTGGATTTTCAAAATGAAAGTAGTTCCCCCTACATATTTGAAAACGTGATTCCCCCCTCACTTGTTGCATATACCCAAACACTTCCCCCTTTTGGCATTAGCAAAAAGCACTTAAAAAATTGTAAAAATATACTCCTTGAACATTGATGTTTGATACTGAACATCGATGTTTAAAAATGTCCTGGAGTGATTTGGCATCAATTGTCAACAATGTAGTAACGTAAAACGAGCTTCCCCCTTGATGGGGTTCATTGGGTTTCGTGCTTGTAGCATCCACTACAAGTTTGTAGTCTTCAAGCACACCCTTTTGTGCATCTAGTAATACCATTGAGGTACCCAATAGCTTTTGGGTCCTAGGAGGTTAGGCAATTAAAAATCATAATCATAATTACAAGAAATGTCCTATGTTTAGCAAAACAAACAGGAGCTATGTGTCATATCTTAAGCAATAATGGCATACTACGTTTGGATTATGCATATGCCTAGGTTGAGCCAAATTTTTTTTAGGTGATCTAAAATCATCATTCCTAGAATTATAGACTAAATTCCTAGACTCATTTCTACGTTTTCTCAAAATATTTCTACCATTTGTAAAAATCCCAGAGTCAATACTAGGTTGTCTCACATTATTACTTTTATTCTTTCTAAAATTAATTTTTTTATACCTAGGATTATTAGTTCTTCTAGGTGGTCTATCCTTCTTAACTTTTTGACAAAGTTTGTTAGGCTCTTCTACCTTAATTTTTTCAATGGTGCTCTTAAGTTCTACGTTCTCTAGTTTTAAAGAGGAACAAGTAGATCTTTGGTCAAAGATAAAATCTTCATTCATTGCCTTAATTTAATTTTTGAGGTCAAAATTATCATTTTCTAAAAATTTATTTTCCTCTTCCAAAGCATGAATTTTTGCCTTAGCCTCTTTGGTAATTTTTGAAGTTTTCTTCAATTCACCAAATAATATTTGAAAGGCTTCTTGTAATTCTTCAAATGAGAAGGATTTAGAAATACTTACCTCTCCATTTTGTTCATGTGCCATAAGACATAAGGTGGCGGTTTTGTCATCGGAACCTTCCGAATACCATGCCATGTGTGCTCGTTCCTTCTTCTTCTTTTCCTTGCGGTTTGGGTAATATGGCTTTATATGGCCAAGTTCTCCACAACCAAAGCACGTTGGAACGGGTTCCCCCTTTCTTTTACAATCTCGGGACCCAAGTTCTTCCTTCAAAAACTCTTAGAACTTCTCGAGCAAGTTATAAGAAGGATTATCGTCATCGCTATTGGAGTCACTTACCTCTACCCTTTTTGAGGATAAGGCTTTGAGAGCGAGACTGGGACTCTTCTCAAGAGAAGGTTTAAGAACAGTATATTCATAAGTTTTAAGATTATCTCGAAGACCATCGATGGTGACATCGGTGTTACCAATCGACTCATATATGGCATCGACTTTTAAACGCCATTCCGGTGTTAAGCTTCGTAGGATTTTTCAAACAAGATCTTTGTTCGAGTATGTTTTACCAAGGACATGGAGATCGTTGATGATCTTTAAAAATCGGTCGAACATTTGATCAACGCTTTCAATTTCCTTCATTTTAAAGAACTCATATTCATGGGTTAGAAAATAAATTTTAGCTTCACGGACTTGAGGCATTGTTAGAAAATAGGCCCAACGCTAGAGGGGGGGGGTGAATAGCGTTTAAAACAAAATCATAGGAAATTAAAAACGAGAGCGATAAAGTAAAGAACGTAAGGAAGGAGCACACCGAATTTTATTCTGGTTCACCACAATGTGTGGCTAATCCAGCCTCCCGAGAGACTCTCTCGAGTTACACTAACTCTGTTAAGCTTAAAGGTGCTCAACAAACCGATACAACTTGAGAACTCGAGTCACACGAGCCTCAACGCCTTTGCTCGGAGATACCGCACTCCAAGACTTCTCACGAAGGAACGAAAGACTTCCTTCGAGTTTACAACAAAGGAACAACCTCCCTTAAAGTGTATAGAAACACTTAACCACTCAGGAATAAAACTCTCACAAAGAGTAGATATGAGTGAACTAGTAAACGCTCAAGAACACAACAATTTCTTCAAGAATTGGCTCTCAAATAGCTAAGAAAAATAGGAATGCTTATGCAATGAAAGAGTATTGAAATGTTGAAGAATTGTATGTAAAATGAGAGGATTTGGGTGCCATTTTATAGCCTAAAATGGGATAAACCCGTTGCTAGAATTTCCAACAGGATGAAGATAAATTTTTCAGAGATGCAGGGTGATAGTCGATTGTCTAGCCTTGATAATCGATTATCAAAAGATTCCCTGTCCAAAAATTTAAAATTCTATCCGTTGGACGACAACGGTAATACTGATAGTCGATTGTCAAGACCTGTCACTCGACTATCAGGCCTCTTAGAAGTTTCTAGGTTTGAAGTTAAACGCATATAATCGAGTGACAAAACATGTCAGTCGACTATCAGATGGTTCTGAACTTAATGTTGAGAATCTGCAGCAGCCAACATACGATTGACATAAACTGTCATTCGATTATCAGCTGGTAAAAACCATCCAGCGAGAAACTTAACCCGAAAAGCCGAGGTCCAAAAACAAAGTGTTCCCAAAAGTAAAAACCAATTTTGAAAAACATTGTATATGGTATAAAATAGTGAAATCAAGACTTGTTTGATAAAAACCAAGTCTTCGAGGTCGTTAGTCACGTGTGTACGGTTTTGACCGTTTTTCACGTGTTAGACCGATTGACCAAGATACAAAAGTGGTTTTTATAAAATAATTATTTGGGAACTTTTAAAAATGCCCAGAGGTAAAAACGAGGTTTAAAATATTGAAAACCACCGAGTTGGTTTGGATGCCGAAAACCGAACGCCGATGTTGAACGGCGAACACCGACCGAGGTGGTTTTTGGTCTGGGCAAGGACCAGGGTTCTTAAGATATTAAAACTTTATCAAAAAAGTTTATTTTGATGTACAAAAAAAAGTTTTATGATTTTGTAAAATTATTTTGACTCTTTGAGAACCGAGACTTGAATTGATTTTCGGTTTTGATCACAATAAGACCGACTCGACTAAGTCTTCAATTTTTGATCTTTGTCCTTGAGTCTTTTGGTCTTGTTCCATGCCATTCTTCACGCCTCGATTTGTTCAATGAAACTCTTCATATCCACGGCGGTTTGGCTGTAACGCCCTGCGACCCAGTCTATTAGAATTGATTAATTTAATTAATTAATTACTAACTCGGACCGGAGGCGGGAAAATAAATTCTTAGAAAAATTATTTGATCATGTCATAATATTCGTTTTGACTGTCTGATTCTAGAAACGTAAACGGATCTCAATTCGGACCCGTTCGAGGAAAATACCGCGTACCGATCAGGTAAGATTTTACACAACGGAACAAATTAGGAGATGTAACTCCCAGCACCAATTCACACGCCATAACTCATCACCATCTTTCTTATTTAATCCTCTTAATTCTTCATAACTCCCCCATTCATTTCTTAATTTAAAACTCCACTCTCCCCTTCATTTTCCCTTACCCATTTATAACCCCCAACCAAGCTCTCAACACTCTCCCCTCTCCCTTTTCTCTATTCGGCCAAGGGAACAAGCAGGAACGGAGTGGATTCCGGCGAGTAAACGGGAAGTAGAAGAGAAGGGAGACCACGTAGGAGGTTCTCCGTTCGTTGCCCAACGTTCGTTGTCCATTTGTTAGCAGTTCGTTCATCCGTTACCGTTATCGTAAATCTCTGCGTTTAGAGGTGAGTACGTTGCCCTCTAACTTTAGAATTCGTAGTTCAATCATATCGTTATAATCATAGGATTACCTTGAACTTAGCACTGCCAAGGATTCAAGTCATTGGCGCAATATAAAAGGTTTCGACTATTTAGCAAGCTAAGGCTGTGAGAGTAGAAATTTCTGGCAACATGGGAAGCATGATGATCATGGCGGCACTACTACAGAATCACTACAGAAAAAATGCCTCAGTTTAAAAAATTGGAGTAGGGCTCGCCACTTTAATTAGAGTATACGGAGTATACATTCAGGCATTCAGCACTGGATAAAAAAAGGGCGCTGCCTTCCTCATGAATCCACGAGTATTTGATGCATATTGGAGACAACTTCTCGAATTCAATACGGAACAGCCTGTGGGGACCCAAAGGTGTCACTGCCCATCACTGAAAATTTAGGAATTCAGGACCCAAAGGTTTGAACCAACCTTGATTCGAGATCAATTGAAATCCAATTTGTGGGGTATTTTGAGCGGATTGGAATGCTCTTTCAAGGTATGAAGTTTTGTTTCCATTCCAGTCAAAGATTCCTTTGAAACGAGCAAATTCTAGGACTCGGTGCATAGTTTACAGTGTAGCATTGCAGTCCAGTTTTT